AAATTAAATTAGTCAAATAAAATTGGCAGACAAACTCTAAGGTAATTAAAAAAAAAAAATTGTATATACTTTTTTCTTACAGAACGTAAAAAGTTTTATGTACAATGTAATAAAATATTTACATTTTTTCTTTTAATATTCCCTATTTTTCTCACTTTGTTTAAAATTTTGTGTTGCTTAGTATTACTTTACATTTACCTAATTACATGAGCACGTTAGAGTAAAAAAAACAGAAGATACTATAAAATAAATGTTAATAAACATATGTAATGTATAATATAATATGAGACCAAAAGTATTATCTCTGGAGTAATGAATGAATAGCATATTATTTTGTATTGCTCATTTACTCAATTTAATGTGTCAGATAAATGTAATGTGGTTATCAATAAATGCAGGGAAAAAATTGCACAAAGAAAGCGAGCAAAAGAGGTAAACTAAAAGTAAAACTATAAGTTTGATAATAATTACAAATTTATGTTGTGATTTACCATGAAGCACATTTTGTGCGCCGCAATTATTAATTAAGCAATAAATAGAAATTGCTATGCTAATATTCTTTCTATTACTGTGCAAAAATCTTTTTTTATGAGGCGTGTTATATATTTCAAAGACTCCCGATTTTTATATTTGATAAAAAAAAACATTTCAGCGAAATGTGCGTTATAAAAGCGAGTCGATTATATTGCTGTTAGCGATTGTAATCATTTAATAATCACAGTTTTTCACAGTACTAATAAATTGCGAACTCGAAATCCTACTTTAGCAATTCACAAACAAAACGTGCTTTAGATACAACTGACACAATTGTTGTATTTTTCCGAGCACTTCCGCTAGCGGAATCAGTATAGAACTATGAGATTATGGAAATTGAATATTTAACGACCATTTGCTTTTAAAAAGCAATAAATGATAAAACTTATTAATAAGAATAATTAAAATATGTGTTTGTGTATGTTAAAATTATATTAAACATTAGTTTCTCAAAATTGATCTTTAATATTATAATCTTTAAATTATTAAAGATATAAATTTTAAGGAACTAATGTTTAATATACACAACATATAAAGTACACAAACACATATTTTAATTATAATGAACATTATTAACCTCATCATAACGCGTTTTAAGTTGTTCGATCCTTCTACTTATCGACTCACTAGCTCGTTGTATCGAATGATTTTATTCTTAATGCTCCCCGAAGTAGCTCTCCAAAATTCCGCATAATTTATACAGCAGGGAAAAATTAATGAAATCAACTTTGCCAAAATCGATACCGATTACAAAAGAGTAAATAAACTACAGGCACACGCAACTTGCTTTTTAACGTCATGAAATAATTACTTGTAATAATTACAATAATATATATTATTTTAATTTAAATAATATTAATAACTGCATATATATTTTTATTGGTTATACCTACAAATATATTTATATTAGAAAATACTTATGAATCTTTTAACAATATATAAAGTGCAGATATAAATTAATGCAAAATCAAGAAGACTCTACCGATGTAAAATTGCAATGACGTATTAGAATCCCTCTATTTTCCCTTGGAAAATTCTGCTTTTCTTCCAGTGGAAAAATTCCGCAAGCTCTCCCGGGTTTTTCGATTTTCCAAAAGAGAGAACTTCAACGTGGTGAGTCAGTTCTCGCGCAAGTGCGGAGACGTCGTCGACAATTTGCGTTCCGCTGCGTGACTCTATTTTTTTTTTCTCTTTCTTTCCCTCTTCTTTCTAGCAGAAATGATGCAAAAAACTTTAATTCCAGTTGGGGCAGCACATCGAGAATGGTGCTCGACATGCGGCACGATAATACGCACACACTCGCCCAACCCTTTTTATTCAGTTGACTTTATCGTTTTGCGACGCGGCCGTTAAGAACGAAGAAACGCCTGTCCCAGTTCTGAGGTTAACTACAAATATCAGTTCAGCGACAGAGAAGCTCGCGGGCGCCGCCGTTTTCCACGTACATGCCTCGAATATCTCGCTATTTGCGCTTCGGACTTTACAGCTCCCGTGTGAAACAGTGGGAGCTAAGAACACCGAGAGAGAAAAGGAACAAGACGGTTAGCGTTGGCGGGAGGATAGCGTACGCGGAAGAGAGTTAAACAGAGAGGTGGAGATACTAACGTCATTGTAAAACGGCACGTTTGTACTGGAGATGTACTACGACAGGAAAAAAAAAGAAAAAGAGAGAAAGAGAGAGAGAGAGAGGGGGGGGAGAGGGAGGGGAGCGAGATAGAGACTACGTCAACGTAGAAGGCGCGAGCGAATCGTTGGGAAAAGAGCGAAAAGGGGTTGGTGGAAAAGAGTGAAAGAGGAATGATAGGACGGGCAGCGTTTTATAGCCCGGACTAGATGGTGCGGAACGCGGGGAGAGAAATAAAAAGGATAGGGAAACTACGTCAGGACTACTCGCGGTAGATGCCCGTTGTGCAGATACGCTTTTTCCATTAAAACTCGTTTCTATAACACCCGAGCGTATCACGCGGTGAGAAAGTACGTACGTACGAGGGCTCGTGGCGAAGCAGGACGGCGCGCGCCGCGATAAGCGATAGTTATCCGTTTGAGATACGTTCTGTCGTCGCGCGAAGAATGTCGCGCGATTTATCGAAGAGGAGATACAATTTACAGGAAAGCACTATCTGACGCGCGCTCGATTCGGCAATGAGCAAACAGTGCATTATGCAGCAAGAAAATTCGCGGGCGATATGATCGCGAGCTGATTAGGTCGTCAACGTTAGGAAACTTTAGTTTCCCAAGACTTCCACTTCATTAACCCGAATGCACAGAGCGGCGTGCAGCGCGCCGCGCTTTGCATAAGTTCGGTTTATGAGATCGTTGAAATCATTTCACTTCTCTTTCACTATTTCATCAGATATAATTTCTTTGTTCTATCCAGCGCTACTTAACCTGATTGCCTTAATCACAATATAGGACCCTATTCTTTTTGAATATCGTGGAAAAGCTAATGCGATCAGCAATTTTATTTCATGCAGAAAAATATCAAATAACATGATTCAATAGTTTTATATTCTATTCTTTCCAACGACTGCAAAGAATCTTATTTTATATATTTGTATTTTTTGTGAAACAAATCTGAATCGTAAACAGAAACTATTTTATATAATATAATTTAATATTATATAATATAATACTGAAGTACAAATGGATAATATTTTGCACTTGAAGAAAAATATTTCAAAATTATTCGTATTCACTTGAAAAAATTTTTGAAAAATATTGTAAAAAATTTCTTTCTTCTTATAATCATCGGAGCCTTTATAAATTATAATTTTAGATTTACAAGAATATTTCTCTTTCTTTATTTTTACTGCACTACATTATAGGCAGGCAGTTAATATTTTTACATGAATGTTTCTTAGGTGGATGTATTGTTGCATGTATTGAAATGGAAAACTCACACGCGCAGAGAATATTGAAAATGAGATGAGTTTTTGTAATTCTATCTCCTTCCTTATTAAACAATATTTTATTTCGCGCATCTTTTCAATATTTATTAGTATCTGAGTTTACCTACGCCTGTCTGGTTGCTTTACATTTCGCAAATACCCTCAATTTCTCTCCCAATTTGCGCGAGACATCCAAATCGGCCGCGATCAATCACTCCGCGCTCATCCACTTACAAACGCTCGACTCGACGAAACGTAACGCGATATCCCTCTACAGTTAACGAGCATCCGTCCGAAGCTCCCTAACAGTGTGTCGAGTTTCAACGTTTGCAGCAACCGACGTGATGGACGTTTCTTAGACCGAGAAACATCTAAGAAGCGAACTCGCGAGATGCCGCGCGGTTTTGTGGATTCCTCACTGAAGTGCCGTCTTCTCGTGACACTGGCGACCCGTGTGTTACAAAGGCACACGGTGTAGCGCAAAGTGAACGTAACACGAAGCACAACCGCGAAAATCGTTACACAGCCAGCCACAACTGTGACAGCAAGACAATACAAATACGAAATGACTTCAGGCGATACGGCGCAAAACAAAAGCCAAAGCTATAAAAGCAATTAAAAACAACATGTCACTTCTAATTGCAATTGTACATTTCATGGCAAATATTTATATTAAAAATTTTTTAATTTATTTTATTCGTGACGAGCAATGATTTACGAGATAATGATCTTTTGTAAAAAATCATCTCATATCATTCAATCATAATTACAATGAGAGGATTAATTAAAGTTTTAAATGAGACGTGCACGCACGCGTGATAAACAAAAGTATAAAAGAAATATATTGCACTTGTTTTAATAGCGGACGACAACTAATCAAATTAGAAGGAAGACTGCTGACCGAGCGTGGTTTCACTGGTGATTCATATAAAAAAACTCGAATAAACAAAACAGAAATTTTTTACAAGAACTGCCGGTAAAACCACATTTACATCTTCCTTCCAATCTGTTTAAATGCACAAACCTATCTAATTAATTTTTTATGCAGAAACTAATTACTTAATTTACAGAATATTTTAAGAATTTATATTAATCGCGGTTATATATGTTTTTTATATGCTTATATTAAAAAAGTAATTTTTGAAAAAAAATATAAAGTATATTTTAGAAGTAAAATACAAAAATATATTTTATCTATTTGAACAATGAAGAATGTCAAACTTTGCACAAATTTAAAATGCAATTTCTTATTCTTAAATTATAAAATTGCAACACATTTTGAAAATATGAACTATATAAATTTATATAGATATATAGATATATAGGATATAGGTTTATATAGTTCATATTTCCAAAATGTTACAATTTTAAGAATAAATTTAAGAATAAAAAATTGCATACCAGATGTAAAATTTGATATTCTTTATTGCTCAAAAAGGCAAATAATAATTATGTATTTTACTATTTATTTGTAATAGTTGAAATCGCAGACAAGGATCTGATTATCAAAATGCAATTTTTAGTTATTATGTGTATATAATATTGGCGAATAAGAAGACAATGAATATTAGTACTCACATATATCCTCATACAAGTACAATAAATGAATTCACTCATCGGTGTTGTACCCTAGCAAAGTACACTCTACAGCTGTACCTGGAAAAATTAATATATATTTTAGCTATTAGGAATTATCATATATGTATATTGATTATACATTATACATATAATGTACATGCAGCATAACCTATTATTTAATTATTGTGATTTTGATTAAAATATATAGCTATTACAATTGTGTGCATTACTTAAAAATTTTAATAAGTATCTAAATATTTTAATAAATGTTTATTACATTTTAGTTATAATTGTATATCTATATATTATCATAAAATTATGTATATATATATATATAAATAATAAACAAATAATTGTACCCATCAGCTAGAATATTGAAGTGTGTTTCATCCACTGCATTTTGCCTTAGATTGCTCTGCTCCATTGAAGAATCGATGCATATCAGAGAGAGAGAGAGAGACATCCACTTGTTAGTAACATAAAACATACACCTACCAAACAAAAAACATACACTTTATTTTCGAAAGAGCATGGAAATTACAAATAGAAACATGCTGCAAATTCGCCACGCCACGATACGCAAAATGTAAACACAAAATAAAGTGCGCATTGTATTGCAATGCATACATAATTATGATTATGTTCTCGCTTTACACATTCGCCGGTCTACTCTGCATTTTATACACACTCCGGGCGAGCAAGATAACTATCTCGGAGATCACGATAAAATCATTACGTACAAACACGCACACAGCACAGCAACATTTTGCCCGGTTTAATTCTGACAAACGAAATTTTCATTTTCTACATCTAATGAAAAGTATGTCATGCTCGATAATCTCTTTAACATCAAGATTATTTTTACGTATGAGAAGCATGAATATCTGTACTTATTGTGTTCTGGATATGTGTCGGTGTAGCGTCAATTTTGATCGATGAAACACTATTAACCGTAACACTCGCGATAAAAATAATATATTCCTGCACACGCCCGCTACTTTAATCGACACTCCCGACAAAATTACGCACTTATTATGCGTTTTTAAGATTCTTTGATAAACTACGGATAAACTACATAATTGATCACAAAATGGCCGCCTGTTATGTATCACTGCAAGCTATGGAGATTGTTATGATGGACGAATGATGGCGCAAGTAGCATTAAACATATCGATAAGTATCAAATATATCGATAATTGATCATTATTGCCAACATTACGCCATTATGTGTAGTATGTTTCGCGGTTTTTTCCGTGCGCGTCTTTTCGGATCATTTTGGAGTAAATCAGGTATTGTATTCATATTAAAAGGGCTTAATAAATACGAATTAATATCGGGATTATCAACAGAAGCAATGAACCATATTGCTAGGATATATTGCTGCTATGGCATAATCGCAAGCACTTGCAATTATTTCATGTGAGCGAAAGTGAGGTTAAACGAACTTTTCGCATAAAACTATCTTTTACATGTATACATATTAAATAAATATCTATAAGAAACTGTCTTTCACATATATACGTATGTAATTATATATTACTCATGTTGAATAAATATCTGTAAGAATGTTATTAAAAGAAGCTTTTAATGGCTGTAAATTCTTATCATTCTGTAAGGGTTATATTAATATATCGTTGGCATCATTGTAGAAATGTTATACGCGATTCGTAGAAAAACGAAATTAACTAGATATCTGTTCGTAGCAAGTCGAGCAAGGTAAAAGCAGTTGGCAAGCGTAGTGACGCTATTTCGAATCGGACCGTTAAGGTAAGGATGAGCGAACAATTTCGCGATTATAATCGTACGATAATACGAAGCTATTTTTTGTTGCCCTCTCTTTCTCTTTCTTGTCTAGTCACTACTTGTTGTTAAATCAAAGTCAAAGATAAAATGATAAACGATTTGGTTCGCGAACGCAGATTTGTGCTACTTCGCAGGAAGCTAAGTTCTTTGATGATTTGAGAGTATGCATTTTTCTTTTGTACAAATTAGTATACGATTAAGAATATAATCTGATTTCTTGATCAAGGTCTTCATTAAAACAATAATACACTTATCCGACAGTAATTAATGTCATATTTAATTTTATACTTGTATTTGGCTTTGTTAACATGAATCAAAATTCGAACATTAATTTATTAATAAAACAAATAACAATCTTTTTTTACTTAGCAGTCTTTAAATACTTATACTAAACAAATGTCTTATCAAGTATAAATTTATAAATATATTAAAAATATATTTTTTGAATTATTTCTAAAGATTATTGTAAAGGTTATATGTTGGCTATTGTATTACTGTTACAATAATGAGATTTAGCATGAAGCGAAATTAGCCAGGTATCTCAATAATTTAGCAATTTGAAAATCTGAGTTGAAATTCATGTTGTAATTTGAATATAAAAATTTTTTGTTTTCTTACAATATCATTTGCTACTTTCCTTATATTTTCTTAGATTAAGAATGATTGAAAGTTTGTTCTAAATTTTGTCCTAATTACTTTTTTTGCTTTTTTAGGAATCTATTGATTTGAACAAAATCAAATAGATTAGTATGACCTGTTGGGTCATGAATCCTTCAATGCCGCGGACAAATCGTGATTATTTTTCGCAAAACGTGCCTGCGGTAAGTGCTTTCGTGAAAATTTTTAAAAGTATAATAGTTCGAATATTGTGCCATATATTGTGTGCAATTGTGTAAAGTGTTTAGTGCAATCAAAAATTCAATATTTAGTAGAATATTGAATTGGATATCAACGAGAACTCTACGAGGATAAAAGCAGCGCAGATTAAAGGTGTTCAACGAAGGCGGACGTTGCGGTTTTTCGGTTGCTGTTACAGAAATGGTGGAGTCATGTTATCAAGTAAATGAATTAAAAATTAATAGATATTGGGAGAAATAATATTACTAATTAAATGTGATATTGCATTTTATATAATTTTTATTAATATTATATAAAATACTAAAATTTCACAGACATTAATTCTCAATTTTGTTTATTGCAAATTATCTAAGTTTAATCATATAAATGTGTAGATATAAATATGTTTATGTTTCATTAATCTGTCAGTGACATGATTACAAACGCAAATGTGCTTTCACTGAATTACACTGATAAAAATTATGCTTACAATGAGCATAAGAGTATTAATTAATATTCATGCGCTAAGTTAATAATTATTACGATAATTATGAAACGAATAATTATTGATAAATTTAAATATTACCTTGAATTTTCAAGCTTGACGAATTGCAAGTTTTATTTAGAAACTGAGAATAGAATATTATTCTTTATACGAGCGCGATGTTTGTTTTTCATTAGTCAGTCGGCAACTCGGATGTTTTCTCTCCATTGTGTTTAGGGTCATCTAGTCGTCTTCTGTTTCATGAATCGATTCCCCTTTCTTTGTGTGGTTCTTCGTTCGATCGTGAGATTATTCGTATCCAATTAAATTTAACGAATTTCACTGGTGCAGACAGTTTTATTGGTTTCATTAATCGCACGTACATTGTAGCTTTTTGAAAACGCGTAGGCACGTTTGGTCGACACGTTATTTTGTTATTTTGCAGGCTGCAATTGTCACTGTCGTTTCTATAATATTATATGTGAATAGTATTTTATACGCAGCTTTTTCCGATGGTTTGATATCTGACAAAGCAGATCTTCTGATAGGATCGATTTAATACACAATTATCCATTCTTTAAACTTTTGAAAAAGATCTATTAATCAATAGACAATTTTACAACAATATTAAATTTTAAATATCTGTATTGTGATTTGGAACCAATATGATTCCAATATGTATTGCCATGTTTATTGCATTGCCTGTTGTCATATAAATTATAAGCTCGCTTTGCAATAATTATAAGCGCGCAGTGCACCTCCCATCATTAAAAATTGAATATTTTGTTGAAAATTTAACTTTTCGAAATTAAATCAGTTAAAACACATGTCTGTTATGTACGCGTTTGATGTATTGACGATGTTCGCGTGACGGCCAAGACAATAATCGTTCGTCTCGCTTGCTTTAAATACGTGTACAATGTTGAATAAATCGGCAAGTGTGTAAGATAATAATTCTATAATTCGCTTTAATTTATACTTTTTATTTATCTAACTATATAAAAAAAATTAATAAATCTATTATACGAAAGTTTGCAACAAAGAATCGACTATATGTGATATTTAATCATGCCATAATTGACGCATACGAGTGCGAATAAAAAATTAAGAAGGAAAGTATCATGATGCTAACAATAACGAACATATGAATATGAACATGCTTTTTTTACCTGGGCTATGTCCGTGTTTATTCTTCTTTAATCCTAATTCCGTTTCGCTTTTGAATGTGGTCACATAGTGAAAAGGTGTCAGAAATATCGTCCAACGGCGTCCTTTGAAGCTCGTTAGTTACTTATCGTTGGCGAAAGGAGCATTCTCCATAAAGCTCCGAGCTATCAGGATGAAAAAGACGCGGGTCTGAAGAAGCAGAAAGATTTCTTCGAGAATCCGGTCGTTTCCACGAGATGTCCTCAAAGGTGCAGATTGTAACAAAGGAAGTACTCAAACCGTTCGTCTAAAGGTGTTACGACGTCACCTTTGTAACGAACTTCTTCCGCTTCTTCCTCGCATATTTATGCGGACAAAATATGGAATGAGATCCTTGAATAAATTTCTAATAATGATACAAATATTATTAACATATTGTTTCCAATAGCTATTAAAAATATCATATATATTGCATTATGTGTAACATTAGCAAAAATGTGGACTTAGTAAGAAAAATTTTTAGAATATTTAGAGTTTGATACTTTGAAAAGAAATTTTGCAAATACCGTCGGTTTATAAAAGATGGTGAATTATAATAAATAAATGAAATCAATAAGTTCCGTGTGTATATTAAGAAATAGAATTGATAGCATTCTACCAACGATTGGTGAAGACTTATCAGGGAGCATTTATTTTTTTTAGGATACGTTATGTACATGCGGCTCTACAATCTCCGCTCGAAAGAGCACGCCACTCCACTTCCTTTCAACATTTTTATTTAGTAAACATCGTAATATCATAGTATGTACAATAATATACCTATCTAGTCTAACGATATCACTGCGATTACGGATTTTTTCTTCTGTTCACTTTTTTCTTCTTATCTCTTACGCTTGCACTTAGCAAAATTCGTCGATTAGGATCTACGGCTCGTCGAGTTCCAGTCCGTCGCATTGTCCGTCGGAGCGTACTCTCGTTAACAATTAATTCACAATCTAGTTAACGATTAGTTTCTCTCGGCGCCTATCATCTGAATTTCGCTATCGCAAAATTTCGCGCGTGTTTGTGCTCGCAATAAAATATGCGGCGCGCAAATTGAGCGCGGCATCCGCGGACGAGTCGAGAGAGGCGAGAGGAACGATGCGCTTTATCGCTAAAATCCCTCTGATTTTCTCCCGTGAAAAGTGATCGCACTTTGTGTAGCTGTGAAAATCCGCGCGACAAATCTTCCTTTCGAATGTTCTCCGCGTGAATCGTGTACACGAAAATACAAGCGAGTACACTGCAAGTATAAATGTCAGTAGCTTTGTAGTATGCGAAAACGCATTTATATAGAAAAGAGTCGCGGTGCGTCAATGCCAAAGGGGTGGATAGTTTGGAAGTGAAGAACGCGCAGGAAGGAAAACGATCGCATTGACTGCGCGTAAAGTTTGCCGCGAAGTTCGGGGATTGGGATGAGGATGTGAGAGAGGATTCGCGGACAACCACGGACTTCGAATTGAATTCCGTTCGCGCCTGGAATTCAATTCTCGACTCAGCCGGCCACGTGGAATGAGCAAAATTCGTATTCGTTTCATCTTTCCGAGTTCGGGCAACGTGCCGCGTTCACCTCATTTTGCGGCTCGTGGAGCCGAATTCAGTACGTGTCTGCTTGTATTTTACGCACTATGTGGGCACATATCTTAAAACAATCGCACATCCTTCTTTGGATTCTTTATTTAAGCCGATTGAAAGTTTTCTTTTTAAATAATTGACAGTTGGAAATAAGAATATTTTTGATAAATTAAAGTTCAGGAACGAGAATAGATAACAGTACAATTATATTATCTACTTATTTCTTCAATTGAATTGTACTTAAGTAAGATTTTAATTTAAAGTTCAATAAAAAAAGTGAAGTGTAAATTAAAAAAGTATGATATAAGTTCTTTCAACTTTTCAATAAGAAAAATTTGTTGTGAAATTAATTTCAGAAACAGTGATTAAAATGACATTCAGTAACTTTAGAGTGATAATTGTGAAATATTGACAAATATTACTCGTCTAAATTATTATGCGGTGCTGGTTGACAGCTTGATGACGCGTGACGCTGAAATTCCTTCCGTTTTCACGTATAGAACAGTCTTGTGCGAAGCCACGCGATGCCTGGTACGATATTTGGTCACGACACTCGGTAGAATTTCGCTCGCGTGTATACACGTCGCGTAATAAAACGGGCGTTTCATTCGATAATTCGTATTATTAGGAAGTAATATTACGCGGGGTGGTGAGGGCGGAGGCGATACGAGTTTGGCGCGGTTGCAGTTGCCAGCGGTTTCACCCGGATCGGACAATAATTGCACCCGCGTTGCATTTGGAAGATGATGAATGCCGCGTAATGGTTTGCGCGAAATCGCGTTTGATTTTGAATTTGCCTTGAATGCACGAATCACCGGCTAATCGGTGCACTGAAGAAATCGATTTATGTCAACTTGTATTAGAAAGAGATTAACTGATATTATTGTAATCAAAATTATTGAGTACTAGATTCGGTATAATTTTTTTTTATAATTAACAAAATTAATTATTCTGTGCGTCACAAAAGTTTCCCGTAAATTTATAATTTACTTAAATTGTGTGTAATAAAGACTAAAAATAGAATTAGATATTATTATAATATTACTCACAAGCTTTTTAGTCACAGCCAAATTGTTTATTCTTAATTCTAATTTACATTGACAACATCTTATAATTTACAATCCAGATTAAGTTGATATAAAAAATATTATTTATCATAAATATTAAAATAAGAAACGTATACTTTATACATTAGAAAAAGATTAATGATTAATATTTAAATATGAAACTATATGTATATGTATGATAACAAAGTAATTTGATCTACAAAGAGACATTAATTATTTCAACTAACATTAATTAAAAGAAGTAATTAGTTTCTTACGCAAATGCGATTTTAAATAAGAAGCATCCATTTGCAAGAGGATATTGATTTAAACAGTGCTATTGGTGATACATTGAACAGTGCTTGTAATAGGATCAGCGTAACGTAACATTGAGTTTCACGGAGATAGGGAAACGCTGCATTTATCGTATTCCAACTCGTGTAAATGCAGTTCGAAATTAGAAGAGCAACGCGTTTATTTCATTTTCGGATTATCCGCGGTATTGATTTGCTAATTATGGAAACGCCAATGCCGTAAAATCACGAAACTTGAGATTGAATAAAAGAGCAAACTTTTTTGCTTATCCCCACATCTGCCGTTTATATTTTGTTTGCGTATTTATATTGAGCCAGAAAAAAAACCAACTAAAAATTGATTGAAGGATTCCCATTAGTAATACACATTTGTGAACATCCTGTGTTTAACCGGAATAACCAGGGCCATCGATACGCCTCCCAAACATCCGCCCGGTAACGGGAAAATCGATGCGGCACGCATTGCGGACTCGGTTCCGCGACTCAACGGCGCGCTTCCTATCTCTTACACCCAGTTTCCGCCGAAAAGAAAGAAAAATGCCTGCGAACTTTTGTTTCGGCCTCGACGCCCGTACCCGCCCGCGCAATTATTTTTCGCCCAACCTCTCATTGTTTTCAAGGGTCGTATATTCCACCGCCGAACCACACGTGTAAGCGTGATTCTAGCAAGTTCGCCCCGCGCGAGAGAACTTCCGGAATATTATCTTTCTTGCCGGCACCCTCGAAATCATGTACTCTTTCGACGTCACGTGGCAAAATTTCGAAGGGCTCGAAATATTTTTCCTCTTGTTCTCGTTTTTTTTTTTTAACACAAGACATTCAAAACGAAAAATGTATACGAATAATTCTGTGATTCGCACCTTAATTATAACAAATAATTTTAGCTGGTGTAGCAGGAAACCTAATTATAATGAGTAAATAAAAGTTAGCACATCCCCCAAGCTCAAGCAAAAAGAAAAACACTTTGTTTTTCTGAAATCATGTTTCTGCGCCGCATCTGTATTTCTTCATCGCCCTCTCGACTCATCTCGTTACTTAAATCGCCTCTGACAAACGACCATCTGTGCCGCTCCAGGAAGTCTGTTGGACCAAACGAGCGTTCACCTCGCGTATCAACATTCGCGAAGCTGCAATGATTTCGTTTCGCCGAGTGCGGGTGGCTCGAGCGATACTTTCAATACTGTCTGATCGCACTAGCGGGCAAACGACAATTTTATCTTATCGGCTTTCCCGAGTGATTAATTTTTCGAAATGTTATTAATGTAAGTGTTTTGGCGAGCGTATAAGCGACATATTTTATCCGCTTGCATGCGCTATTTATATTGTTCTTAATATTTCTTTTCAATTTGAAACTATTCGATAACAAATAATTTCACAAGAGAAAAAACAAGAAAAGATAGAGAAATTCTACTTATAATTTTTATATGTCAAGTATAAGTAGAGATTCTTTGCAATTTGGCTGAATTTTATTATTTTACAGTGCAATTATTATAATAACAAACTTATAAAATAACACAAAATATTTATTAAATCAATGAAATAGTTAAGAAACTATAATGAAACCAACATTTAATATAATATTTAGCGCGATTTATAAAAACTTCGCAATTATACTTCGCGCTATTATTACATTGCATTTTTTTGACAATTTGGTTTTATTATTATTTTATTTATATCTCTGAATGCAGTGCAATATAATGAAATATGACAATCATTGAAAAACAATCAAAACTGACTGTAAAATTGAGGTGAAAGTATGCCGTAAGATAATTGTGCATTACACGCAATTTTTCAAAGGTAATCAGTGGTCATTTCGCGTCAAAGCGGAACTTAACAGTAGAAAAAGAACGAATAGATTGCATACAGAGGTCGTAAAGCTTCGTTTTGCAGGAAGTAAAGATTTTCCGGTCAGCAACGCCAAATCGTCGCTCGCTAGTGCTATCTGGCAGAACGTCACATCAAAACACACACACAAATAGAAAGTAGAATCGTCTTCCTCTCTCTCCCTCTCTCTTTCTCGTTTGTGCGATTGGAGCATGATTCCTCCGCGTCAAAAAATTCGCGATTGTCTCGAATGTATCCGAGAGCGAGCGAGAGAGATCGGTTCGCGCCGAAGTTACCGCGCGCGGAAAGGCGTGTGAGTGTGTGATATCGCACAAGTTATATAATACAGACATTATGTACAAATTTGCGTTAGTACGCCGACGCTAATGCCGGCGGCAATCTCTCACAATCGCGGTCGCTTATTAAATGGCGAAGTGGACCGATCTGCAACGCATTCGCGGCATCGCTGATTAGTGTTGCCATCAGGCTTAATCTGTGCATGCATGCAAAGTACGTGTTTCTCGAAGGGATCGGTGTGTTCGTACGCGCGCGCGCACGCGGTATTTCACGGTTCGTGAGTTTAACATGTGTCCGACGAGCACGTTAACACGTGTGTGCGCAACGGCGAAATGTCTCTCTGTGCGTTCGTCTTTCAATCTCCCCCTTCCCTTCGCTCCTCGCCACTCATCTGTCTGTATCGCTATCTCTCGATCCTTCCATCTGCCTCGCGATACGATCATGGTTAGGGCGATGATGTCGGGACAAACGATGACAGGAGTGCTCGGCGTTTGATCAATTACTTCTGGCTTTCTGGCGACGAAATAATACACTTACAGAAACTACGCTGATACCGCGCGTTACGTTGATACGTGCTCGGATTTCCGTACTGATCTCTATATAATCCTGCCGCTACAGCATTTGTGAATTTAATTAAGGCAAACTACTCTGCGTATAGCTTGAGCGCAACGTGTAACAAGAGATGGAATATGAAAAGATGTTGTTTACACTTCTTTTTCGGTCCAAGCTTAGTACAGTGAGAAGTAAATGCAATAAAAAATTAAGGAAATAAAATGCAACTTATATTCAATATTGTATATTAATGCAATTTATTAAAATACAGCAAAAACGTTTCTCATTATCATCAAATATCGTTATAATAGTTTAATTTTATATTGTTTTTCTGTATTTATGTAATTACTGTTTTATTTATATCTAAATGCAACACAATGACATACGGTAATCGGATTTATGAAACAATCGGGCACAACTGACTGCAAAATTGAGGCGAAAATATAACGAGAAATAATTGTGCGTTACACACAATTTTTCGGGGCTAACCAATGGGCAATCCGCAGATAGAAATTTAAAGCGCACCTCGTACCATCGTTTCCATTGATAGAATGCTTATTTATGCATGGTCCGCAATAATCGCCGGCGATTATTGTATTAAATTGCCGCGCACGGTGTGGGCTTCGGTTCGATTATTCAAACGTTTCATTCGCGTTTATTTGCGATCATAAGATTAACTTTTGCGCACGTATGCCGCGTTTATTGCCATATATCTTTACTAATTGTTTTGCACCGCCTCGTTTGATTACGTGTCGCATCACTAAACACGTCCAATTATTTTTTTCACATACTGCATCGAATTGTTATTAAAAATCTCTATTTAACAATATTATACTATCGCGTTACAGTTGAGTTGGCAATTTTGATAATTTGTATTATTCTTATACTGAAAGTTGTACTTTTTTATTTCTACGAGATATATTCTGCACTTAATTTTTGTATATCTTTTTTATGTCCGCGGAATATGTATTTATATCTCTTACAATTATCGGGAAATGTAAAGCTAACAAGGATGTTTAATTGATAAAATAATTTTATGGAGTCAATTTACCATATTTAAAAGACTAAAGTATGTTTTACATCCTGCACGAATAATCGCAGATTAATACGAGGTATTAATTTAAACGTGTTCTGATTCGATATTTAAGTAATATAGTCAACGTTTAAACCGCCGTATTTTTCGCGAGATCTCGTGTTGACGATTCGTATAATTCTTTTGCTTGATCATACAAAGATACATAGATAAATGAACGATGAATGTTTTTTTACATTATACACTTATAATTTTTTTAAATAAAATCCAATAGACGTCATAAAATTTAACATTTCAAAAGAGAATAAAAATTGCTTAATGAAATAAAATCCTTTTATGGAAATAATTAAAAAATTTATAACGTTAAAACGGAAACATATAAAAATTCAGAGAACTTCAAACGCAGTAAAGCTAATCGCAGAGAGAACAACGTATGCGAGTCAATTTAGATAGGTTACGATAAAATTTATCGCGGAAAACGTCGTCGGGACTGGTAAGATAGCATCGGCGCAAGTATGTGAATACGGCCGATTATCGCGCGCGGCAATTTTATGAAATACGGAAAATTGCCGTATCGGGCACTCCGGTCACGTTTTATTTTCCATTGAATCCCATTCACGTAGCTTGCATTCCCAAGATTCGACCGCTCGTAAAACGTTACCTGTAAGGCAATCGCTCTGCACCTTTACGCTTCTCGTAAATCGGTTTCTCGCGATGCGGATTACCTGGATTATCGCGGGGTCGGACCTCGACAGAGACAGTCCTTTCCTTTCTCACCCCTTTCCTCCTCGTTCGTTGGCAAAGGAGGCGAATGTTCGCTCGTCGGATTTACCGTTAGACGCCCACGTTCCGGGCATTAGCGTCGACGTTTGCTTTTAACTAAATGCCTTTCCGCCGAAAGACACTTCTCGTCGCGATCGCGCTCACACCGGTAGCGCGCACCAATTCCATCGCGGCCGGAATGCGCACGACGCGATAGTACACACACATTCCCGTTTGATTTCCGATGCACATCGGCGCGAGAGCGACAGTCGGTGGCGCGTAAAAGAAGCGGTGTGTTTTCCTTGATAGAGGAAAGAAACCGGTTAATTGAGCGACAACTCGATATTGCATCGTCCCTTTCGATGTCGGAAAAGAGAAGGAATAGACAGGTGTAGAATCTCTGCATTTTCGTGAACACTTGTGCATCGCGTAGTTTTATTATGTGGATAGCTGTCCCTCTTTGTAGCCCGTCACATTGCAAATGGTAATTCACGACGCTTTCGCAAGAGTCGTAATGAAATAACTGAAAGACTGTTGCTTCCAGAATGAATTACTATTTTTTTTCTCAATTGGCAGTTTTTTTTCCTCATAAAAGTATCATGAATTATACACAATGTGTGTCAATTAAACAGGCTCTGCCTTAAGCAACTTCAACATTTCTTCGTACAAATTACAATCGTTTCACGATCACATCTATTGGATGGGAAACGCGAAAGCGCATTCGCGTAGACGCAAGAGGAACGTACCGCGACGGATGTGAACTCTGGCCGTTGGCGCTGTGTGTGCTTTTTTTTCTTTTTCGTTTTCGTTTACACCGAGGATATGTACAAAATGATGAGGGACACCAATAGACAACTCGAGGACAGTATCGGCCCCGCGGTCCCGGTCTGCATCGCTTCCGGTCGCTCGCCTGTAACACAAAAGTATCTTATTTTTATAAGCGATTCATTTGCATAGCTGTCGTATTTTAAGAAGAACCGCCTGTTAAGAAAATACGAGTTGTTCTTCAAGCAGCACCTTTCAGTGATTTAATTATTCTTGCGTCGCAAACTACAATTTATGCGCATTTCGATGCTAATGTGCGTAAAGAGATATTATGGGAATATATTCAACTATTCTCTCCTTCATCTTTTATCGTGACATGTCGGCGTTGCATCATCTTTTCCAGCTCGAACCCGACTAACCCGGCTATACATTTTTATTACGTCACTCTTGTTTCTGTTATACATGGTAAAACCATTATTAGAAGTTCTTCAGGGCTTACGCCACGAATAAATAAACCATCCATCAATCTATAAAATCTCATTCAGCGAATATAATCTACTTCACGCGAGGCGGAAAAGCAAAAAGGAAGGAGGGAGGGGGGTTGAGGCGGTCGGGGTTCCGAGCGTGATCTGGGTAACGAGGACTTACCATGCAGCACGTGCTGGTGCCACAGATATTTTCGCATGGAAAGTTATCGAAATACTAGTGACGTGTACGCGTGAGGAAAGTTTCTCTGCCGGTGTGACTGAAATTAATTGAATCGCACTCGCGTCCGCTCGTGCGCGTGGCATAACGCGTCGCGAAACTTTTTAATGAATGTCAACTGCGCGAACGATACATTCGAATAAATGATTCCCCATTTTTCGGCACGCAATATGCCGGACCTCCGGGCCGCGCGCGCGCGCGCGCGCACGATTACTGGGCAATGTTGGTCGCGGACGATTTAACTATTGTAAAAGTTCCGGGCGGAGGCGAATGGCGTATTAGAAGCGCGTCCTCTATGCGACGGATATCGGTCATTTCGTGAAGCGAATCGAAGTACAATTTCCGGACGCGCGCGTCCTCCCTGTGTCCCGTTCGCAATGCTCATGGAATTTTCCGAGTGTGTCCTCGTAAATTTTCCAAGTTTCGCGCCCACGAAACTTTCGTTCGCTTGCTCGCGTTTCTTATCGCGACGCAGGAAATTTCGGAAAGACATTCCTTCCGACGACGCGCCGGAACGGCGACGGCGGGTGGAACAAACTTCGCGAAATTGTTTTTCACGCATTGTAACCGGAACTCCGTGGAATTATTCCGCGGGTAACGGCTAATGGCTAAGTTTTCACGAGATCTCGGGGACCTATATATTTCTTTCGACGTCGGAATATCGGTCGCGCCAGTCAAGGCAGGCGCGCGCCGCCTGTATGCGTGTGCGAATCGAAGAGTAATTTCCGCCCCGTTCAAGCCGTATCAACCGGGTAGCTGTAAATTTCTGCGAGCTTTTAAGATGTCGTATTCCACGGGTGGGTCGGGATTTCGACGGTAAAATTTTAAGAGCGCGTACTTAAGAGTTATTCTCGCTGTCGCGATTTGTATTTTCCGTGCAGCGATACGCACACTAATCGATATCGCCACAAATCTGCAATACGTTCCGGGAAAACGTTCTGAAGAAAACGATTGAGATAAAAGATAAAAGTTTTCCGTAAAATATATAATTCATAGATTGCCGTGCACTAAAATATGCAATAATAGTTCATAAGAGCTACTTTTCGTCGCGATTTGTATCTTTTTACGACAATATCAATGGATATCGCAAATCTTTGCGATACAATCTAATGCAACTGTTTCAAAATAAATGAGAAAAATAAAGGATTGCAAATATGGAATTATTTTTAACGTATTTTAATATAATTTTTTGGGCTCGAATTGTTTGGATAGTTTGGACACAAAATATTCGAATTTTCTATTTGAACTCCATTTTTAATTCTTACATTTAAAGATTAAAATTAGTTTATTCATTTATTAATTCATTTATTAATCATTTATTAATTAATCATCATTTATTAATTAGAATAATTATTGCAAGAATGATATATGCAGCATTATCGGATGAAAGACCTCTCGTCACGTTAAAATATCCAAATATTGAAAATATATAAACTATCTGCACAAGAGAAAGAATAATGTTTCCGTATACTATTTCGCAAATAATCGTCCGATACGCGAATGCATGATTACAAACATACAGAATTGTTTTTGTTTCCCATTTCACAATGGATTCCAATAACCGTAATACGAGAACATCCACGAATCATCGGCTGAAATTCGTACTGCATACTCGCGCGATGTTGTCGCGTCACGAAAAACAGATCGGGATAACGAGCATAATTCAACGTCAGTTGCATACACGCGCTTCATTAATAAATTATTCGCGCTAGGTCATCGAAGCATTCACCAACTCCGCGGGCTCCTTCGTTCGTGGCTGATGACGAAGGGCCTTATTATACGAACCCGCCGCGTCGTATTCGTGTTCGTGCGAACCTTAGCAGACGTATATCTTGTATATATAGGCGTGAACTTCGCGACTGCATAATTGCCAAGAGAGTTGATAAAGCAGCAAGTTTCTAACGCATTTCCAAAGGTGGGAAGAGACAGCTGGCGAGTGTATATACTGGGTCGAATATTCCGCAGCCGCGCGGTACGTGGTAAGTGATAAGAAAGAAATGTGAAAATATTCACCCGTCGCGGGCTATGCGCGAAACTCGATATTCTCATATTTTGACGTCATTATCATCTGGTATTTATCGGCGTGACCGCGGGCGGATTCGCGGCTGGCTCCGCCATTTATTCGTGAAACTTTTCTGATTCATATCAGTACCGGCATAGTTTTAATGACGATGGTGGAATACACCTCGAGTTTACGAGCCGGTTGTAAATAGTTAACGCCTAAAGCCCTTGGCGCGGCGGCCAATAAAATAATTTTGCGCGCTGTAAAGTAGAATGCGACGACAGAGTTTTGTACTTCCGGAATTTATAGTGCAACTTATGAAATAGCCGGTTGATTCGACATTCTGGCGCCTTCTCGCGCTGTTCGACATGACGTGGTTGTTGCACGAGGCAGAATTGTTTTAATTATTTTATTAAATCAATTGTTGAATATTTCATAAAATTGCACGCAAGCAAAAATTGACAAGCGAATTTTCATTAGTTGATAATTATCTTAATATATATGTTCGTTAAAGAAGTTTGATGCATTTTAAAGCAAATTTGCCCGATCGCAAAATAGTAACAATATAAGAGAGAGAATAATTTATTGAAGAGAATCTGTGTCTTGAATGTCACAGATTAATATTTTATAAAATATTACGAATCTGGAATTATTTTATCCGGGTGCATCTCGATTTTTTTGATAAATAGTATATTTAGACAAATAGTCGAGCAGTTTGTCGATGGAACGGTGCAGAAATATACAATTTTCCGCGATTGCTATACAGTAAATACGCGAATATAATTAAAAGCCAGTGTTTATTGACAAAATTATGCATAGATGAAATGCGTAATATATATAATAAGAATTAATCGTAATCAATTTGATGCATTTGTTGAATAAATTTTGATCAAATACACGCCTTAAGGAAAGCTCTATATAAATCTATGAAACATGAAATTTTCCATTAAGCAATTTTGATTCCTCCAATTGTGTGAACATTAACGTACAAAGTTCTGTGCGAACTATCTGCTCGGAATACGTAAATCTCTCCCCCCTCTCTCTCTCTCTTGTCTCGCGTCGCTCGTAAAGCGCCGCCGAGCCACAGCGGGCTCCGGCAGGAGCAAAGACTCACCATTTAGGACATGAACCCTGATGGACGCTGTATTGGCGTTGCTGGGCTTGCAGCGGTACTCCCCGGAGTCCGAGGGTTGCGCCGTTTGAATAAGGAGCCAAGAGGTGGTGACATCGCCACCCTTCTCGGTTATCACCGAGACGCCGCCCCTGGGACTGTCGTAGCTCAGGACGTTCTCATTGTAGTACCAGAAGATGTAGGCTGGCGGCTCCGAGCTGAAGTGTATGGCGCACGTCAGGTTTATCGTGCTGCCTGCACCGACGTACAGCTCGGGCCCGCCCAGTATCGTCGCCGTAGGTACTGCGATAAAGAAGAATTTTCTTTCGATTTCTCTCTCCATCTCCTCTCCCTTTTTGCCTCCCGTTTTTTCTCCCGCTACGCCCGCTACCCTCCCCCCCTCCCCACCCCCACGTCCACCAATCTCTCGCTCGTCGCTCGGTCAGGATAAATCTAGAGATCCGTGCGTCGTGAAAGCTCTTCGTGTGAAAGCCTCT